ACGAGAACAGTTTCACCGTGACCCTAGAAGACTCCAGCGACCAGTGGGTGTTCAACAGCATCACTGTCCGAGTGACCGCTTACGTCATCGACAACAGCCAGCTCTCCTACCAGGGTGACCACTAGGGCGTCACTCATCACGTCATCAGTGACGTCAGACAACTGACCAATAGACGTCCAATGACCTCTACATGTTTCTGTGTTCTGGCTGAGTCCGGGAAATATGACTTCTTTTGTGGCGTCCATGTTAGTGCAGTATGTTCTCGATAAGAGAGTGATGAATTCTGACCTATTCTCAAGGTACATTTTGCGATTTATTTTACTAGATTTACCCTCCCCTTCCCCCTCCAAACCACCCTTTTTCTCCCCAATCTTTCTTAACAGTAAATGTAAAACCCAACTGTCGATGAAAAAAAAGCAGCCAATTGCTACTGTTTTAAAATGAATAAGTAGCAGTACACTAACAACGGGATGTGGAACGAGATGAAGATGAAAACAAACTGACAGACAGCTACTTCCGGCAATAATAAATAAATACACTACGAAGGACTCAAAGATAGAGGGCATCTCTTCTGAAAATGAATGGGGTTTGGATTGACTTATGGCAAGACCGTTCTTCTCAAATGTGGGTGAGATGTGGCTTTCTACATGGCGAACTATAATAATAATATTAATAATAATAATAATAATACGGTTACGGTGACTGTTGGAGTTAAAAGTTAAAACGTTGTGTGTCGTATTTGCCCTCGGAGTGTGACCACAGAAGCTTCACATTTCTCGGCTTCCGCTAGAAACAAATAAAAAGGCAATTGAAAATGTTCACACCTTTCTTCGTTTCGTTTTTTTAATGTGGCTTGTGTAGTGAATGTGGTCTGGTCGAAGCCGGTTTTGTTGGGGGGTTCTGTTGTTGTTGGGTTGGGGTTGGGGTTTTTTTTGTTGGGTTTTTATTTTTGGGGGTTTTTGGGGTTTGTTTGTTTTTTTGTGTGTTTTTTTTTGGGTGGGGGGTTCACTGTGTAGCTATCATTGCAGTTGTGCTCATATGTACATCGCCTTCTATTTTGTATTTTGTTCTTTTTGTTCTGTTTTGTCCCTAGAACTTTTGCTTGAAGTTATACTTACGGCTGCTGCTGCTGCTGTTTCTGATACTTCTGTCTGCCACTGCTGTTGTTGTTGTTGTTGTTGTTGTTGTTGTTGTTGTTGTTGTTGTTCTTCTTCTTCTTCTTCTTCTTCTTCTTCTT